GAACTCTTCGTAGCACAAATCCACATCGCCTTGCAATGCCACACACGGCTCGGCGAGGGGAGCATGCGTCTAGGCTGACGCAACCACCTAAGCTGCGGTGGTAGCGGGAGGGTTCTCGACAACCTTCTCAGGGGTCGCGTTGGTGGTGGTGGCCTCAGTGGTAGGGGCCTCGCCCTCAGCGGGCGCGTCTGGTGCGTCGTCCTCCTTGCCGGGTGAGTCGATCGCGACCTTAACGGCGATCTCACGGCCCTCAATCTCCTTGCCATTCATCTCGGCACACGCCTTTTGTTGGAGCTCCTCTGAGCCGAGGGTAACGAAACCGAAACCACGGCCCTTGCGGGGCTCACCGCGAGCCTGGAGCTTCTTAACCATGAAGCGGGGGATGGGGCGGAGAGCGATCTTGGCCTGGGTAGGTGAGTAGTCCTTGAAGATCTCGAGAAGCTGTAGTTTGGTAAGTATAGGCCCAATCCTAGGTTTCAGAGAACACGTACCCTATCCTCCTTCAGGTCATAAGGCAGGTTGGCAACCATAACCTTGGTCTTGGAGGGAACGCCATCCTCGGGAGGACCACGCTGCTTGCGCTCGCGGGGAGCAGCGGCCTTTTCGGCGCCCTTCTTTGCTGTAAGCGCTTCGTTCGTAGTCTCGGTGAGGGGGGCAACTTGGCCAGGTACATTTGTAGGAGCAGCTTCGGCAGGGGCCGCCTCAGTGGAGGCTTCAGCTGGCTCGGCGCCCTCAGCGTCGGTCTTCTTGACAAACATGATTAGTCTGTGTCCACGAGTATACAGTCATTATTGTCGGTACTTACAGCACGTCCTCCACGTCCAGCACGGCCTCCACGGCCACGACCGCGGCCACGTCCGCGGGTGGAGGTGCGGCGGCGAGCCTCGCCAGTGTTGCCTTCGGCTCCGCTGCCAGCTCCCTCAGCGTGGGCCTCGGGAGTGCGAGCAAGCTGGATGGAGACCTTGCGGTCGAGGATGGCCTTGCCGTTGAGCTCAGCAATAGCACGCTCAGCCTCGGATGGGGTGGAGAGGGCAACAAAGGCGTAGCCGACGGGGCGCGAGGTGCGCGGGTTGGTGGGGATGGTCGTGGACTCGCTGGACAGCGTGTTAGCTTAAGGTAGTGGCGTCATGTGGAGAAGGCGGGCCCACATACACCAAGTAGTCCTTGAAGAAGTCCTTCAACTCCCCCTCGGTGGTCGCATACGCGAGGTTTCCAATGTAAAGTCGCCTGCCCTCGGCGGCGCTCGCACGCACAGCCTCGTCCTCGGCTGCGGTGGGCTGCTGGGCGCCGGTGCTCTCCGTGGTGGTGGTGGTGGGTGCGGGAGCAGTGTTGTCGGTGGTGAGGGAGGTGGTGGCCATCTGGGCGGTGACACTGTCGATAGGTGCGGACATTTTTGCTGAAGTTTTAAGGGTTGACGAACACGAGTAAAGAATCGAACGTGTAGAGTGACTGAGGAAACTTGGAGTCCTGGTAAACCGGCAAAGGTAACCTTGAACAGCAGTGGATTATTGAAGTATTGATGGGAATTGTCGAACCGCCTGTTGGTGGAACTGTTGACGAGGGGGGTGTGGAGTGGGTAGCTACGAGCCCGGGGAAGGTTGAGAGAGGATTGGGTTGATGGAGTGCTTGGTTTGTCTCTGTTGTTTGACTTGATGGGGGAGGGAAGGGAGCAGGGCTGCGGGCCTGGGCAGATTATTTTGAAGAGAGAGCGGCCATGGGGCTTGTCCCGAAGCGGCAGTCGAAGCGGCCCACTCGCGCAGGGAAGCACCACTGATTAGTTGCGCCACATATGTATGTGCATGCTTCCGGGAGGGAGGAGCATCTGGCGTGATTGTTTGTGTAGTGTCTATGAAGTTGTGTGTATATACAAAATATATGGTCATTTGTTTATCTGTCTAATTCCTTACTTGCATATGCAGGTCGTGTGTGCATACTTACTCCGACACAGGTGCTGCTTAGCTAATGCGCCTTACAGGTAGTAGCTGGCGCCACACACTCCAGCCCCCCCTGCCCGCCTGCGCCACAGCTCAACGTCGACGACGCAGCCAGTTGCCTCAGGCCCCACTGCCGCTAGAAGCCGATAGCAGCAAAAAGACCCGGCTGCCGTTGACGTGGCCGCTAGTGCACCGCTTCTTCATGCGACGGGTCTGGGGGGCCAGCCGTCAAATCTCATCTTCTCGACGAGTCTCCTTGAAGCTAGTCTCACCGTACCGCTCCCTGATGCCATGCCCGCCCTGCAGCAACCACGTCGCGCGCTGGTCGTCTACGGCTCCGAGACAGGCAATGCCCAAGATGTGGCCGAGGAAATGGGGAGGATCGCTGAACGCCTACGATTCGACACCGACGTTGCTGAGCTGAACGCCATCAGTCTTGTATGTCAGTCAATGGCCGTGCCAGTGCGTGCAGCAGGGCCTTGTTGACTCGAGTAGAAACAATTGTTGCAGCATGATGTTGTTTTGATTGCAATCTCCACCACGGGCCAGGGTGATCTGCCCCCAAACAGTCAGAAATTCTGGAGAGCCATTAGAAGCGCTCGCTTACGCCCAGGATGTCTGTATCAGATGAAGTTTGCCTCGTTTGGCCTGGGAGACACATCGTATCCCAAATATAACTGGGCCCATCGTAAACTCTATAATCGCCTCATTCAACTCGGAGCCCAGGCGATATGTGACCGTGGTGAATCTGATGAACAGCATCCAGAGGGGTATGTCAACATGTCAACCTTGTTGTAGCCACACAATGTGTCTGACTTTTCCAGTATCGATGGCTCGTTCCTTCCCTGGTCTACCAAACTTCGGCAACACCTCCTGGAAACGTATCCTCTTCCAGACGGCGCTGAACCAATACCGGACAATGTTCTCCTAGACCCCAAATGGCTACTTGAAATTGCTGATGAGACGTCAACACCTTCAACCAAGCCTGAAGCAAAAGAAGACTCACCTGACATTCCTCCATCAGACCTCCTCAAGGTTCCTGGTGGCTTGACTGCAAAGGTTACGAGCAATGAACGTGTTACTCCCACCACACACTGGCAAGATGTCCGACATCTCAAGTTTGAAATACCAGAAGTTCGCTCCTACGTCCCAGGCGATGTCCTCACCATATACCCCAAGAATTTTCCTTCGGACGTCTCCCATTTTCTAGAATGCATGGATTGGGCCTCGATCGCTGATGTCCCTCTACGCTTCATTCCATCCTCACCAGCTACTTCACCAACTGCAAGTCTTCCAATTCGGACCTTGGATCCCAACAGTACAGTAACTCTGCGCCAACTTCTCACCAATCACCTTGACATCATATCAATCCCCCGCCGCTCCTTCTTCGCCCAACTTGCCCACTACACCACCGACGAATTCCACAAAGAGCGTCTCATCGAGTTCACAGATCCCCAGTATATCGACGAGCTCTACGATTACACGACGCGTCCACGCCGAAGCATCCTGGAAGTCTTGCAGGAGTTTGAATCTGTCAGAATACCATGGCAGCGCGTGTGTAGTATTATCCCTGTATTGCGGGGAAGACAGTTTAGTATTGCCAGTGCGATGAACCCAACAGCAGAATTGGAGAAAAAAACCAAGATCGAGCTTTTGATTGCAATTGTCAAATATAAGACGGTCATCAAAAGAATCAGGCAGGGCGTAGCAACGAGATATATCGCTTCTCTTACACCTGACCAAGAGATTACCGTTACACTTTCGCAGGGAGGCCTCGGCGTGAGCAAGGAGGAGCTACAAAAACCCATCGTCATGGTCGGGCCCGGAACAGGCGTAGCACCGATGCGATCGTTAATCCACCAACGCATGTTGTGGCGGGAAGAATTGAAACAAGCGCAGAATGGACACTCGCAAGACCAGGTGCAAGATCAAGCAAAAGATCTACTATTCTTTGGCTGCAGAAACGCAGAGTCAGACTACTTTTTCAAGGACGAATGGGAGAAGTTGCAATCCAATGGCGTCCCACTAACCGTTTTTGCAGCCTTTTCTCGAGACCAAGTGAGCTACAATCTCATTTCCTCTTTCTCTTCTCCTCACTAACATCTTCTTCAGCGGCAAAAAGTCTATGTGCAAGATCTCATCCGCCAGCAATCTGCCCTCATCTTCTCGCACCTCTACCACAAGTCTGGTATTATATATGTTTGTGGCTCTTCGGGTAAGATGCCTCAAGCAATCCGCGAGGCACTCATTGAAGGGTTCCAAGAGCATGGAAACTTGGATAGAGAAGGAGCAGAGGCGTACTTGGTAGGAATGGAAAAGGCTGGACGTTATAGGCAGGAGACGTGGTAGAACTAGGGCTGCTGTTTGCCTACTGCTCCTCACTAACTGCCACTATCAGACTTTATAGAATTTTTGGGAAATCAGAGCAAAAGTATAGAGCTCCCAGCGGAATACACTACTGAAGTAAACACAAATCCCACAACAATGGCTCAACGCCAATGAGATGCAAGTCTACGACAACGTTATGCACTGTACATTTCACAACAATATGAATCACTCCACGAAGAAGACACCAAGTATACAAAAAAGTAAAAGAAACAACAAAAACATACAACAGCGGGGATTCGCTAGTGGTCACCCACCTAACTACTAGTCCGCCGGTCGAAGACTTAACGTGTGGAGAACGAACGGGATCCGGTGCGATACTTCGCCGATGGTCGTATGTGCCAGAAATCAGAGATCGAAAATTGATGTTAGCGGTGTTTTTTGGAAAAACGGTCTGGCACGGCACATGATAGAGGCACAGCGATATGCCCGCTTAGAGTTTCCACCCCATCAGCCTGAGTTCCACCACAGCTATGATCCTCGACTGGACAGCCTCTGATATATCGAACCAAGGGTAGAGTGAAAAAATGGTAGTGTTGACTTCACAAAGCAATGTACGCGAAAGTAGTATGCTCGTGTGGCCTCCATGATGGCATGAAATGCCATGGATGGCGCGAAGAGTGTATTCAGGCATGCTGTAACCCTGTAGCTTCTCTAGCAAGCACAACGCCTATCGCGTACTCAGCCCTGCATTCGCCTTAATCTTTCCTCAGCTGCTCTTGCCCTTCTTTCCCTCTCCATCCTTGCCCTCGCCTCTGGTGTCAATCCCCTCATCTCTTCTTCTCTCAGGTCGGCGCCAGTCTTGACAGGTAACGCGCCCAAAGCCTTGCCTTTGCCCAGTCGTTGCTCCTTTCTCCTCACCTCTTCTGCCTCGCTCTCCTTACGCACCCGCTCTGTCTCTGCTTTCCTACGATCAGCCTCGGCCTTACTTTCTGCAGCCTTCTCGTTCTTTTCCTGCGCATCTCGCTTGTCAGCCTCAGCTTTGGTCATGGCTGCTGGAACGCCTGCTTTCTCCCAGTCCCATGCAGACTCGCCGAGTTCGGAACGTGCAACGCGAAATGCATCCCTTGTCGCACGATCACCCGCCAGTGAGAATGGTGTCCGAGCTTCGTCATTCATCAATGTCGGGTCTGCGCCCGCTTTTGTGAGAAGGGCAATGACAATGGGAACTGAGTTGAGGGATGCCGCAAGGTGCAGGGGAGTCGGCGTGTGGTAATTGGCAGGCAGGAATGTGAATGTTGGTGGGATGTTGTTGGTCTTGAGGTAGTTTAGGAGCGCAGGTACTTTGGAGCGTTTGATCATTGGTATAATCTGCGATGTGTGTAAGGAGACGGCCTCTTCCTCTTTCGTTGGCTTCTTGGGTTTGGGCTTTGCCGGAGCTGGAGCTGTGATTGGAGCTTCTTTCTGAGAAGCGTTCAGGGCAGCAAGTGCTGCCTCATCAACAGTGCTTTGCTTCACCCGAGTTAGCTCAACAAAAGCACGCATGAGCTCTTTTTGAGTCGCTCGGCGTGTACTGAACGGGAAACCTCTGTTACGCGGGTCATTGCTTCGCAGCACTTGTCCTTCGTAAGGACCAAAAAGCGTCCTTCGATTGGTTGCACCGGTAGCGCGAACGAATATGAGCTCCGCAGTATCAATCATACTCTTCCAGCTGTTCAGCAGTTCGCGTACTTCGTTGACGAGTGCGGTCTCGTTGTAGCGACGTATCGAGGAACCGGCGGAGTGGGCATTCCCCTTGGCGTTGTCGTTGGCAGATTGTGAACCTCCCTGTTTCCTTCTGGTGGTGTATCGGTGGAAAGTCTTGTGAGCGATGACCGTGGCTGACCGCTCGTCTACTCCGTTGTGTCTCTTTCCTATTTTGGGTGCTAACGCTACAATCATAGCTGCAAAATGCCCACCACCAATCATACACAGAAAGTAGTGTGGCCCAATATCCGTGTTGGGCAGTGGAACACCACCCTCGTTCGCCTTGATCTTTGGAGGTTGCTTCGGGGACAGCTGCTTGCTCCGGATGGTCTCTAGAATGTGCGACTCCTCTTCTTGCTCCGCATTCGAAAATATGGCGCGGTATATACCCAGCGATGTGTTGTCCGGCAGTGCGGGCGATGTGAACCAAATCAACGGAGGCTTTCCAGGGCCACTCTGCTTCTTGGATGAGGCAACATCGAACCCGGGATCTGTGATATGAGCTTGCTTCTTCAAAAGCGCACTGAGGGTAGAGTCTTTCGCCTTGCCGTCGCCATCGTCTTCTTCTTCGTCCGATTCTGATGACTCGGAGCCCGATATACTCTCATCCAGGTCTCCAATGAGCTTCTCAAACTCGGCCTCACTCACTGGCTTAGCGCCCTTTATCTTCTGTTTCAAGTTGTAGCCATGGAGGTCAGATCGAACATGACTGCGCTGATCGGTGAGGGACGCGAAGTTGAGGCCGCAGAGGTTGCATGAGGTCGCTTTCGCCGGGGTGGAGTCGTTGTCGGAAGATTTGTTCGCGGTGTTTGGGTCTTGAGGGGGGGTTTCTGGGAGCGACTGTTCGTGCTGGTCCTTGAGTGTGAGGGTGGCCAGGAGCTCTTCGGGCAAATCGAAAACTGCAGATACAGACGTTAGTAGGGTCGCAGACGACGAAAAACTATATTACCGTAGAGTGGTCGCTGCAGTAGATGGCCGTCTTGCGCCATTTGATATTCATATAATGTATCTACTAGCAGAGGTGGTTGTCAGTAGGAGCGGAATCTTTGGTGGGGCGCGTCGAATATGACGTAAGTCATCAGGCACTAGCGTACTCACCTCCGCAATGTCCAAAACCAAAACAGTCACCACTACCTGGACGTAGTGTCATCAATCAACGTCGTGGAGTGGATCGGGCGCGGCCTTCATTCATTCTCTTGCCAGGGCTTCGGCTTGAGCTCTCAAGTAACCTTGAAAGGAGAAAGGCCGAAACCTTCTCTGGATCTTCGGGTGACCTGTGGTCGAATTCCAGGGGTCAGTCAAGATCTCGAGAACAACAGGATTTGCTGGCTTCTGTTGTTCTGTCTTCAATCTGACAGCATCTTCGTGAATCTCCCGAACTGTACTGGCCAGCGCCTGCAATTCGATCCTCAATTCACGAAGTGTGTCTAGCACCTAGGCAAGCAACTGCCCACGCGCGGTTGCTGCCGTCCTCAGTGCTAAGACATAGTCCCGTACTTCCCGGAACACAGTCGGTAGGGTATTCATGGTCTCCTAGACCGAATCCACTGCCTCCCGGATTGCATAAAGACTATCGCGTTTGCCAAGCGCGAGACAAAGAGAGAGGAAAAAAGAGATAATAGTGAAAATGGCACCGATCAGCGTCCAGACTGACGGAAACCAAAAAGCGAAGGACTCATTCATGATGGTCAAAGTAGAAAAAAAGATTTGGCACGGGCTCAGAGAGAAAAAAAGTGCAAGGTGGCAGGCCTGAGGAGAAAAGAAGAACACACCGAGGGAAGGGAAGTTGATATTTTTAAGGGCAAAAGGCTTGGTATTGCGACTGCACTTCCTGAGTTTGCACTTGCATTTCCTGCTATCGTATGACCAGTTTGATGGCAGGAAAGCGCGCCCAAATTGGCACGCGCGTGGATTCGGGCTTGGACATGGGAGACTGCAAGACAGAACGATGCGGAGTTTCAAATTACAAAGCCATCTTTGGTAACTTAAAGCATTCGAAAGAATTTTAGATACAAACAGGAATCATAAATCTATATGTAAGTAGCTTGCTAGGAGCTGGAAGTAGGCACATGCCATTGCATTGACAAGCGCGCGATGTCTATCACAATCCAGCTACTTGTAAGGCTCTCCGCCATGCGCCATCAGTGATCTCTGCTACACCGCCAGCCTCATTCCATTTGTCCCTTATACTTCCAGGTGGATTATGTGGCGAATAAGCTGATCTACTTTGTTCACTCGGGTCCCACCTCGCCATAGTATTACGCCAATACCAGTTCTCTGGCGTTCGACAGTCGCCCAACCCGCGATACACTAGCACCTCGATGCTGTATCCCTTTTTCACACCTTGCCAATTCATAGTGATGTTGTAATCTGTTGGACAGGAAGTACAGGACCCGTATATAGGCTCGCAGGCCGGGAATGGACCCGATGTGCTTCCCTTCTTAGCAAGCTCAGGAAACGGTATGGGAATGCAGGCAGGAGATTCTTGCAGAAAGGTGAGATGTTCGCAGATTGAACCCCCAGAAAATTCGACGTGGCTTTTAAGCGATACCAAGTCACCTCTGAGCTGCGTCATGGATAACGCTGTCAGTATTAGAAGTTCATCGTTAAAGATACATGCATGCCGCGATACTGAGCATTTGATTCTGTGCTTGAGAGTTGTGTAATTCCTTCGTTTACTGAGTGCCTGAAGCGGCAAGCCGTGTTCAGGTCCGTAAAAATGTCGGTTCATGACCAAGCGTACATGATGGTAAGGTATGTCGCAGGATAATAGGAAGGAAAGGTACAGATCTATTCGTTTCTTGCATTCCAGACGCTCCATGTAGTATGGGATGGTGGACCTGCTCCAGCGCCCATGCCAGCGATGCAGCTTTATACAGCGAGGACAGTAATAGCGGAATGGAATGTCTTTCTCAAGCAACACCAATAGCTTTTCTTTCTCATCCGATTGCAGAGGCATACTGTGTGGTTTCCAGAGATCGTGAAGAGCCCGGCAGGTCAACGCAAGAGATATCAGGGCGCATTTGTCGAGATATTCTGCGATCATAAGGATAATCTCCAGGGGAAGGTTGCAGGGACCCGGATTTGATAAAGCGAATAGCTGCGGGAAGTGTCTTTTCAAGCGGCTAACCGCTTTTTGGCAGACTGTTGCCACTACCATGGCAGGGTCCACAGGGGGAATATAGATCCCACCCTGAAGATCGAATAATGTTATCGCCAACGCCGCAGCCGCCATGTCGATGCGCAGGTTTCACAAGTCTGTGTCTGAGATACCAACGGGGTTTTGAGGAGCATGCAATTTGGGATATTACGGTAACTTATATACTCCTTTGATACCTCCACTCTTACCGTGGTACTGTCACCCATACAACTGCCGCCATGTGTCGCGGCCGTGCGAGTCACACACTATAGCATCTCAGCAGCAGTGGACGTTGCTTCCCAATGCTAGCTAGCCGAGTGCTCTCTCTAATACATTTTCTTGTGCATTGATTTAGATCAATCTCAAGAAGTACAATTCTTGTTAATCTTATATGTTTGCATCGATTGCGTACGCAGTATTGCACCGAGTCCGGTCTCCAAAACCCAAAACGGGAATCACGATTGGGCTTGACAAGCATGGGTAGGCTAATATTCCAGTAATAGATCCAGTTTGGGCAGTAGCTGGTTCAATTACTTCTTCTCCAAGGTCCTCTACAATTCACTGTTTGAGCTATGCTAACATATCATGAATTTGTCTCTTTAGCTAGCCCCTGTTCACGTAGCAAACACTAAAATCTTCTTTGCTCCATTTGTAGTAGCTAACATAGCTAGATTGGAAGGTATCTGGTGCCGCTAGTATTTTTAGCAGTGGAAAATTTCAGCAATACATAACTAAAGTTGTACTCCGTCTTCTACACCATCTACGGGCTAGAAGCACGTCATTATTACCTTGATTCTGCGGAGAAGAAAGACTACAACTAAGCGCATTAACAGTGATGAACCTCGCATCATGGTAGGGGTAAGATATTGGTCGCATGAACCATGGGTAGAGATATAGTCACGGTTACATCAACTGAGGGTAGAGCCAATGGCGCATTAATCATACGTACGTAGAGGCGGACATATGGTAAACCTACGTACCTATACCATATCTTTACTATCCAATTGCTAACCTGGCTATACACAAGCATTTGACCGGTGCATTGGCAAATTAGTGAGTTACCGCGAGAAAATTACTGCTGCCTTATATCTTGTGCTTTTTTGCGGTCGAGGCTTACAAGGTGTTAGGAACAATGAACACAGAAATTCTGACCTCACGTGACCATGCGCCTAACTACTATCGCTAAGCTGCTGGGTTTGTGGATCATCGAGGGAAATCGCACCGCAATCAACGAGCACACAAACACAACCTACCGTCATCACCAATACATATCCACTTCTGAGGCTTGTAGCAAGAATGAACCCATCTTTTGACAGATTCAGCACGCTTCCGGACGAGCTGTTATTGCTGATATTTGACCAAATCAAAGCCGACGACAACATTTCAAGCTTCCATACCCTCAACGCAACAAGCAAGCGGCTCCGAAGTCTGACAACCGATTATCTATACTACAAGTTTCATGGTCTGGCTCCAGAACAGCTTCTGCGTACTATAGCGTTACCACACCCAAATGTACGACCTGAGCTTGCAGATCATGTCAAAGAAGTAGTGTGGTACCAGAGCTATTGGACAAGGACAGCTCTTCAGCGATGTTTGAAGCAGGACGACAGACTGCTGCTTGCAGTCAAACTACGAGATTCTGGGTGGCTTATACACACAAGCCATTCTTCTGGGAATCTGCCTGAGCGGTTCGTCAATCTTGATCATGAGCGTGAGATACACTGGTGGTATCTCGAATTCTTTCTCCTTTTCACACCCAATGTTCAAAAACTCTGTGTGTGGGACACATGGCAATGGGACGACCACTCCTACTGGTTCGATACTATATCACGCAATCCGACCCAATTCAAAAACCTTCAGTCGATTACGCTTCATGGACCTCTACGGCTGGAGAACGTCGTGCCCCTGTTGACTTTGCCGTCGATTCGTCAGTTAGAGCTTATTGAAGTCGTCACCATGCGCCAAGAACCTGGGAAGACTTTCTCGTGGCAAGACAGCACGGACAACACAATAGAACGTATGCTTGCCGGTGGGTCTTCTCTTGAGCAACTAGTAATGAGGGATTCCGATATCTTCTTCCCAGAGGCAATCATCATCCTCGAGAAACTCAATAATCTCAAGAGCCTGAGTTACGAACACCTTCCAAGCGATCTCGGATCCCATCCAGAAACCTACCGTGAATTCCTAATGATTGATGAATTGCGACGCCTTTCGAGGATCCCCCTCAAACACCTTCAAATCCGTGGTGAAATACCGCTTGACGAAAGTGTGGTGTCGTCGCTCTTGAACATTAAAGCTCCGATGCTAGAGGAGCACCCATTACATAACCTACATACTTTAGATATCGGGCCTTGCGACAAGAATAGCATCAATGGCATATCTTTAATGATGTACGAAAACGATAGGGATCCTAGTCATAGTAATATCGCCAATCAACTACCGGATACACTAGAAGTCTTGAACATCAAGTTGGAACCTTTTGGGTATGATAGGGTACCTCTAATTTCTCCTTACTTCCAAATTCTGTCGGGTTTCGCTGCGGCTGTCGCTTGTTCGCCGTGTAACCTGAAGCGTGTGAGCCTTGTCGAATGGCCCGCGTGGAGAGACGAGGACTCCGCTCAAGCAATGTTTTCTGTCTTACAAGGGTTGTATAGTAAAGCGGGCATGAATCTAGATGTTTCATTCAAGGAAATTTAGGATGGGGAGTATTTAGTGGTCTTCGAAGATGTTGGACCAAGATGGTTGTAAGCAGACGGGACAGATGCTTTTGATACGTATGCTGAGATAATGCACTCGCTATAGTAAACCATAACCGAATTTTCTGGCTAGTAACATGGGAAAGCATACATATGCATCTGATCACATTTTTTGTATTTGATCTGTTTGTACTATTCCTCCAGGTGAAGCTGAACCGCCGCACGCTTGACTGGTCAACCACATGCCAAGTCTTTAGCGCAACCAAACTGCGGGGCAGCCTGTTCATAGCTACAGCTGTTTGCCGTCCAAACCAAGCCGTATCCAAGAGCTGTTTCTTTATTATCTTTTCTTTTGAACCTTAGGGTGGTGATTAAGTTCGTTGGCGCACTCTAGCAGCCAAGAGAGTGCGATTGCAGATCACAGGATGGCAACCGAACTGGCGGCAAACCCCGGCTTTGGCGCTCTTCCTAACGAGCTCGTGATGAGCATCATTGATTGCATGCCAATCGAAAACCCCAAAGACATTCGCAATCTTAGCCTGACCAGCCGGCGCATGTACCTTCTCTCGCTCGACCACTTGTACAGTCATATCTTGGTGTCCTGCCCCTGGCCGCTCACCCGAACCCTTCTTCATGATCCGAAGCTCGCGGCTCGTGTCCAGCAAGTAACATGGAATCTAAGTACCGGAAAAGACAATAGCACTGAAAATCGAGAAATGCTTTCAAGGCTAATGAGATCGTTCGAGCCAATCGGAGTAAAATCGTCAATAAATCACGAACGGTTAACTACAACATGGCGCGACCACGAGTTTATGGCCTTCTTCATAACGGTCACACCAGCCATCGAAACGCTTACCATTAAAGAAACGTATGGATGGAGAGATAATAGCTACTGGTTCGGCAAGCCTGTATCAGAAGCAGGAACGCTCCAGAATCTGAGAAACGTTCACATACACGGCCCGCTCTGTCTTGAGCAAATCGCACACTTATTCCGTGTTCCTTCGCTGCGCAACGTGACTGTTGTCGATATCGTTCAGCTGGAGCGCCAACCTTACGATTACGTTGAGTGGAACGATGAAATACCGCTTTATACAGTACTCGAGAGGGGTGTTTCGGGTGTCGAAAACATTGTCCTCAAGCGTGCTTGCGTGGAGACCCAAACACTAGCTCACTTCACCGAGGCGTGCAGACAACTCAAAAGTTTTGCCTACGAACATGATACCCACAACAATCTGCGGAGCCGGCGCTCGCCAAATCTCATATCAAAGTTTGAGAGTCTTTCCTCTGCGCTGACACACAATCGCACATCGCTTGAGCGGCTATCTGTCCGCGGCGACCACCACATGCTCTACCAGAAGCACATGCTGCAGGTAGCAAGATTGGCTTCCAGAATGACAAACTTGCGCTCCTTGGATATGGGCTTGATAGCGCACGACGACGATCCAGAACAATGCACGCCCGATTTCGTTGCTGAATTGGTACGCTATCTCCCGCCCACGCTCGAGGAGCTGACATTTGAAATCGACTGGCAGGAGCACTGGGGCTCAAAGGGATGGGAGGGCCCGACGGAGATACTGCGCCTTCTTGCTGATATCGCACCTGCGAGGCTACCTCTGCTCAAGAGAGTAGCGGTTGTCGATTGGCCACCGAAATTGGGGCATTTCCCTCCAGACTTTGCCATGCTATATCAATGCTTTTCTGAGCATAATATACATTTCGCCTCGATTCCTGTCACTATCGACGCGCCAGATCCAATACGGATATCAGACTGTGTCGAGCCTGGGTGGGTTTTTGTAGAAGTTGCTGATGTGGAGTGGCATTACTGAAAATTGAGACAACTCTTCTCGTTCATTCGGAAGCATATGGCTTGCTGCATAAGACTGGTAAGGATGAAACTCCCTTCCCGCTTTTTTTTTGGTTCGTCATCGTATAGAAAAGTTACTTCTTCTTGTCACCGAGGACATTGAGTCACTCGCCATGCGTTGTCATTCAAGACAGTCTTGTTACGTCGGAACTGCATTTCGAGGAGCGACTTGGTGGTGCTGATTGCAGCTTCACCTAAATACTATGATCAGCCCTGGTAGTGTATAGTGTGAGAACGAATGCGATTAAATACATTAGACGTAAATCAGATATGAACCATTCAAGCAATAGTTTGGGAGACCTTTGAAGATGGCATGAGATCGAAGACGAATCTACTGGTGTCAGCAATTCCCCTCGATCTCGAGATTTTGACTAAACCTCTAAATTCAATTTCAGGAGTGGCACACAAACTCCACAATCATATTGATTCTACTCCTGCTATATTTCCCTGGTACTTATACTGCCTATCATTTTACAGTATGTTGCAGAGAATATAAGAGTCAACTGATGTTCACCCACTCACAAAGAGCACTTTGTGATTCAGCGCCACACTTATTCTGAAACTTTATCAGATGCCTGCTCTGTATACATTAGTCGTACAATATTTACAAAATATCCTCAAAAGACCCGGTTCAAGCAGCCTTTGTTCGTAATTGCACGCCATGCCAGCTCTGAATCTCATCCTTCAGCACCTCATTGACCATCTTGTGCTGCTTGATGACGGTCAAGCCCTTGAACTTGGGCGACTCAATTTCAATTGCATACATTGATCCGCAGCCGCCGCTGATGTCTTGAACCTATGCGAGCGTGTTAGTAATCGTCGATGCTGACCAAAATGAAACACCCTGATTCGGTTCGGCATGCCGACAGCGTCCGTATGCAAGCCTGCAATATCCAAAGGTCTGGCCGACTGCGCCTCCCGAAAGCCTCTGCAATGCTGATATGACGCGCATATTTTCAATGCAGCGATCGGTAGCGCGACCGGTGTCATCAGCTCCAGACGCTGGCATCTCCACTCTGTGTGATATCTGGGGACAGAAATGCGGAGAAGACATTGCATACCTCTAATTTGACGGGCTCTAGCTCCGATTTCAACTTGTTAAAGACGTGCAATTCCGCCTCGTTCAGGTAATCCGGGGCTTGGAGTGTGGTACTAGCTGACTGCGAATACGCCCTTTTGCATATGCAGAGTTGTGGCTGTCGCACTGGGCTTGACCACAAGGTGGAAGAATGCAGTGTTCTTTTTAATGGAGTGGCGAATTTTGTGATAAGGGGTGAGGTCAATGGCAGACGCAGTGTCGCATTCCCAAAGGCGATACGGCGGAGAAGGAATGCTCTCGAAGGTGCCATTGTCGTGGTATGAGCGTCCGTGGAATCGGTGTGAGATGCTGAAGATCACAATGTACACCTATCGTTTCACTTGACTGATAGGATTACGAGATGATTGTTCGGCGGTTGACGCATCAATGGATTGTTGCTTAGCAGTTGCATGTAAACTTCATTCATCGCGAACTTCGTCATAGGGCCCGAGCGTCAGTCGTCGAATCACATGACTTGGATATCTAATCGCGATACTGCCACCACTTCGCAAAGCCCAACCCTCGCCAATTTGAGGCAAGACTTCTTACGTACAATATCTGGTTCGCACCATCGAAAGTTCTATCTTTTTCCATCTCAACAAAAAGTGGCTATGCGCAATATGTATCGTGAGGCTAACCACGATCATATCAGCGTTGCACTGGCTGTGCATTACGCCGAGGGGGGTGAGAAGAGGGGATGCCAGCCATCAGCATATCAAAGTACCTCCAAGTACCTCCGCAGCTCGGCAATCTGACTAGATACTGATAACAAATTCTATTAGCAAGCGTAATTCTCCAGAGTTTGCGACCGACGTCGCACATCACACCGGACGTGTTCACCACTTTGAACGGTGGGCGCCGTCTCCACACTTTCGCCTCCGCCATCTTGCTGATAGTGGAGTGCATATCATAACACTCTAGCATCTATGGCCAGCCAACACTAGATGTATGTATGGGAGAGGCGTCAACCAAGCGGTAGACCTGGACCCCTCCTTTCCAAGACAGCAGCGGCCGAGACCGTTCGGACCCTGATCAGCGCTATGCAGATTATCGGGCAACGTAAACTTTCACATGTTGAGGAGGAGGGAATGGGGGGTTGCAACGTATGCGAGCACCCCTCTACCCAGACATGCGACACGGGCCACGGCAAGCCAATAGCCTGCTTAGAGGCAAGCCCAACTGTGTGCGTACGCCACATTATAGGCTGGGCTGCCCGCAATTGTTGAGGAATCCATTCAACCACTCAACGACGGGCTCGGGCCTACCTCATGTCGAACCGCGCACTGTCCTCTGGTAATCGAGGGAAAGCAAGAGCCCATCGAGCGGGACATGACGCAAGACGAGCTCTTTCAGTTGGTATCACGCCATCATGCCACTGAGGACTGACATGTGTCGTGGGGATAGGACCTGTGCCACATTTCCGAGCTGAGCCACCATGCTTTGGCGCAGCACTGGCTCGGAATGGCGACATTCCTGTTTGGCACTGGCGTGCTCGGCCGTCGTCACGTTCGGCAATCTATTTCCTCCTGTTAAACGCAAAGATATAGCATTTCCATATTAGGCGACATGGCAGCAGCCAATCAGACGCGCCGACCCCGGCACTTCCAAGCATCGTATACTATCGACTTCACTTTGGCAAATCTCAACGCTGCCTATTTCACAGAATACAATAAACCTTGCACTACCCGATGGCTATACATGTTTCATTTTGATGGGAAACACTTGTATTTGTACAAGTATATGGTACTATAAGGCCGTTCATGAGAAATTGTAATATGAAGTGCAAGCCATTGCAATATGGATCCTATGGATCTAAAGATGAATCGCCGAGGCGCGGTAACGCTGGAACGGAGCAGAACAGAATGCCGGAGTACAAACAGGTAGCATCACACTGCTGACCTTTGAGTGTCGACTACATACACCGTTCAGCAAAAGCACCAACATGCACCGCCTCATCTTGATCAGCATTCTGCAAGTGCTAGCAGCAGCTATACCACACCCTCAACCTAGCGACGACTCAACAGCCCCACTCACTTCGCTCTCGGAGATCTTACCAACATCGACTGTTGCCATACCGGACTCGACATCTCTCAACATCCCAGTCACAGCCATACCCATGATCGAGCCCGAGCCGGAGGACGACGGTGGAGATGACGACGACGACAACTACGGCAAATCGTCAAGTCGCTCGAAGAAGCCGCACCGAGAGCCCATTCCCATCTTCACCAAGCAGTGCCAATGTCAGCTGGCCACGGCTCGGTACCCATGTTGGGCTACTGATGCACTACAGGTAAGCAAAGCGAAGAACAGAAAAACAAAAAAAGTGTTGTAGAAACAAACAAAGGTTGCATGAAAAAAAAACCCTAACATGAATTTACTTGATAGAAATGTTACTTTGAGGAAAACTTCTCTCACGCCTGTTACATGCAAGCAGCAGGTGGATGTCCCAAGCCAACTCGTGCTGTAAGTTTCTTTCCATATTATCATTCTCTTTTTTTTCCCGCTTCGCCTTCTTTTTTCAGGGTATAAAACAACAACAACAACACTAATTGGTGTGCTGTTTTGCGCAGTGCAAGCAACTCTACCTGCCTACACCGCTACCGGGACCCAATCCCTGCGAGCTAAAACCAAACCCAAACCCGCATGTGACACCTACTCTTCCCGCTGTTCCTTCCTTCCCCACTCTGACTGGCGCTCCAAATGCCACTTTGAGTTTACCTGTTGTACCCGGCAGAAATAGTACGTTTGCGACGGTGCATTCGTCGAGTACGTGAATTGCGGCTTGTGAAAGAAGGGAAGGGGGAATGATGCGAAAGAGTGAGAGAGAAAGAGGAAGAGACAGAAAAAAAAAGAGTTTCACATGGCAAAAAGGGAAATCAGGACTAGCTACCATATCATCTGTACATAGTAGGTCAAGATGACCTTCCATCCTCCCCTCCCTGATAGTTAGTCTAGATCCCAAAACGAACAATGAGGTTACAGGTGACCTAGTCCCGTGTTCGGATAGCGAAACAATGCACATTTCGGCACATTCATGTAATGCTAAGCACCAGTCTTTTTCCTTACAGCAAATCAAAAAAGAAAGAAAGACACATGTCAAAAATGCGTGACTTAACAACTTACTACAGTCATGTCCGTCTTTTTTGGCCCACCGCTCTACTGCTTCTCCCAAAGCCTCATTTTTTTCCCTTCTTCCCGCTTTTCGGGATCCGTCCGACAAGTATACTAACTGCGGAAGGCATGCTCACATCACCTTAGCTTCCGCCAAGTTCCATGACTCTGTGTTGTTCAGCAATCCACTTTGCTCACCCCCCCCTCCTCCAATACCCACCCCCCAAGTCAAGCAAGTTCGCAACATTAGCAGTCTTGAGTCAACGCCCGAGGTGTAACCGCAGGCGCCCTTCCCC